TTTTTTTTTTTTTTTTTTTTTTTTTTTTTTTTTTCTTTTTTTTTATATAAATATGTATACGTACGTAAATATATTCGTCGCGGACACGATTTTTCGTATCGGTGTAAAAAGTAGAGAGACAGCTGTGTTCTTTTCACGTAGTAGCATCGACGCCGTTTCAATGCCGCGCGATCATGGTGAACCCGCGTAGAACCGAGTAACGTAGAAACAACACGCTTAGACAAGCTCGAGCTATGCAGTTTTCACGACTCGACTTCTTCACGAATCCTCCACGAATGCCTGTCAATATCGTTTTCAAACTTGTACTTTCAGAACTAGACAGCGCCGCTTCAACGTCGACCCCACAGTCCGGTTCGTCGGCAGGTAGCCCCCCGAAATTAACGCGCGAAAAGGTAGCCTGTCTGCCGCCCCGAAGACGCCTGTTCTCCAGGACGGAAGAGGAGAACATGCCAGTGGCGGCGACGGTTCCGGTCCCGGCACCACCGCCGGCCATCGCCTCGAGCGTGCCCGCGCGAGCAAGCGGATTCAGGAGCTCCTCCGAGACGTCGGTGTTCGACTTCAGGGAGAGCGACTCCGAGGGCGAGATGCCGGTCCTCGAGAGGCAAACGCTCGAGGAGATGAGGAGGGACAGAAAACAGCTGTCGAAGGTGCAGCCACCCGTTCCCCTGAACGATGCCATGTGCATGGGCATGACCTCATCGTCGGACCTGGTGAAAATAGAACTGAAGGTAACGTTATTTGCGTAAGGTCGTTTCTCGCGTGATTCGTTCGTGTTCGGACGAATGGCCTTGAGCGTTCCAGTTCTGTCTATGGTTTTTATCCTAGCTGTCTAACGAATCGCGTGATCCCGTTTCGAGTGATACGGTGTTTAGAGTAATTGAACGGTAGAGTAATTAGACCGCGAGGAAGCTTTTGGTCCAAGATCAATTGTATCGGCCGCAGTGGATCTAACTTTTCGACGCGTTTGTTGTCTTCAGGAGAACGACAAGATCAGCGAAGTGGACACGTTCTGGTCTACCACGTGCGACAAGTTTATGGAACAGCTTAGAACGGGGGACGCGATGAAGAAGCGTGGTCGTAAGAAGAAAGTTAGCTGCACGATAACGTCGAAGCTCGACGATACTGGAAACGACAGCAGTAAAGAGTCTGACCCCAATACGTCCCAGATCAAGCCCGAGGATATCAAGAAGGAACTGCAGGACATTGACTCGCCTCTGGACAGCAAGGACGAGTCTCCGGAAACGAGTAAGGACGATGAGTCTTCGATGATGAAGGACATCAAAGTGGAGGTAAAGACAGAGCCCGAGGTGAGCAAGGAGGAGGAGGACAAGAATTCTAGCGACGATTCAGACGAGGTGCCGTTAATTCGACGGGCGAAAAAGAAAATGAAGAAGGAGGACAGTGATTGCGAGGAAGAGATCATCTGTAGGAAGAGAAGGGTCCGTAGAGGAAGCAGGATTAAATTGCAATCGTCCAGCGGCAGTGAATCTTCCAGCGAAGAGAGCGATGCTAGTACCGAGTTTGGTCACGGTTCTTCTGTGGCTGATAGGCTAAGAGCGAGGAAACGTTGCGCCAACAGCAGCACGGAAGCCGAAGGAATGAAGCTTAGATCCAGGGATACGACGCCGCAAAAGGCCAAGACGGAGAAGGAGTCGAAAGGTTCCACCTCGAAGACCTCTGGCTCGTCTCAGAAGGGAAAGCCAAAGCCTCTGTTCGGGGATGGTAGCGATTTCAGGCCCGGTTGGGAGGAGGAGGTGTACGTGTACAAGAAATCCTTGAGAATGCCAACTAGGTTGATCACCGTGTCGAAACCGACCAGGTTTCACAGATTGTCCACCTCGTTGCCCGATTTGGATCCAGGTTCGCCGGCCTTGTCCGTTTCCATGGATAGCTCCGACGTGTATCTGAGCAGAAAGAAACTGGTGGATAGCGACGTGGAGTCAAACTACAGCTTCAGTGCTACCGGGATTGGACTGGGAAGCAAGATAGACGACGAAGAAGCCACGTCGTCTACGACGATTTCGTGCCCTGCGAAGACCACGAAGCACTCCAAGTCGGAGAACAGTTCCATCGTTGACGTTTTGGCTCAAAAGGTGGGAACCAGTAAAAAGGAGCAAAAGAGAAAGCAGAAGGAAAGGTCGGAGAAAGGAACGGGTAAGGGGTTGTCGAAGGGTAACAACGAGCCCGAACTGCTTGCGACTCCGAGTCTGACACCACTGTTGGAAACGACTAAAGCGCCCAAGGGCAAACCGCCTGTCAAAGACGGCAAGTCCTTGAAGCCTATCAAGGTGACGGATTCGTTCCTACTTGGTTACTTCCGTAAGGAAACGGTCAACAACTTCCGCGACACGTTCAAGAACAATCACGCCCTTCCGAACGAGTTCTCCACGCTGGTGCTAAAGACCAGAACAAGAACGGAGACGCGAGTGTTGAAGAAACAGGCCACTATCAGAGAAGTGTTCGGCGAAGATAGACCGGCCTCAGCGCCCCCTATGCAGAATCACGACGACACGTCTCAGGACGACGATTCGCAAAACGAGACGCTGGAGAACAGGTTAGGCAAAGGGAGAACCTTCAAGCAGAAGGTAGTTTCGCGACTGAAACACGCTGGAATTCTGAGGAGCCACAAGGCGAACATGAACTCTAAGCATCTGCTGATGAAGAGGCGAAAGGATCTGCTGAAATCTTTGGCCGAGAAGAAACTGCGACACTTGAAGACGGAAACGGAAGAGGAACCGGTACAGGAGGAGACCAACGATGCGCAGGAGGCAGAGAACAACGAGCTCGACGACGAGACCAACGAGTCAGAAGTTCCTAACAAGAAGAAGCTTAAACTGCGGACAAGCAGGCGGAAGTTCCGTTCCGGATTCGACTACATTCGCAAGAAGAAGAAACCTTTGAAGAAGGACGAGACGTTACCTAAGGAAAGGAAGAGGGTACGTTTGGCGTATTTTTCTTGACGATGGTATCAATGACGTAGTTTCGGTGCCGAAGGTTCATGAAACATTTTCGTTTCGCAGCAAGTACTGGCCAGGCCCAGTCCAGAGTGCGTCGCTGATATTCAGTCGGAGATTAGAACTTGGGTGATCAAGAAGGGCGTCGGTGAAACGTTGCTGCATCGTGCTGCTAGACTCGGTTATACGGTAAATATTTATTGCAAAAAGAAAGAAAACGAAAAAATTAGTCTCTTTGTTAAACTGTACCTTTCCGAATCTCTTACTCTAACGAAAGCCTAGATTAAATTTAGATTGAACTTTAGCGCAAAATATTTATCAATAAATACTGTGTTCGTAGGATGTGACTGCGTACTGCTTAGAAAAGCTGAATAACGCGCCGAGTCCGAAGGACAATGCGGGCTACACGCCGCTTCACGAAGCCTGCTCAAAGGGTCACCTCGATATCGCGAAATTGTTGCTCGCGTACGGTGCAAACGCCAGCGAAAGTGCCAACGGTGGAATAAGGTAACTTTCGTCACTGAATTTTCCGTCGTTTTGCAAATTCGAATGTATCATTGTTCAGACGTGTTAAAACACGATGCACTGCTTTATCACAGACCACTTCACGAGGCAGCTGAAAATGGTGCTACCGAACTCGTACGCCTGCTACTTTCCTATGGTGCCGATCCCCTATTAGCCACTTATTCCGGACAAACCCCGCTGATGTTGGCTGCAGACACCGATGCCTATTCGATCCTAGAACAACATTTAGACGATATTCAGGGTCGCGCGAGCACAGCGTGGTCTTTTAGTGGCCCGTCTACTATTTTCGGTACGTTCTTCTAACTTTTCAAGGATCTAGAAACAGTCCCAAGTTCTATCACCTGTCACTCTAAAAATTCTTCCGGTTTCTAACGTTTCGGGACAACGTACGTCGCGCATGATCGAACGATCGCAGCCGTTCAGATCGTATCGTTAGTTGTCAAGGTGATCCGTAGTTCTCGGCAATCGTCGTCGAGGTTGTATGCCATTGGCGCTCAAGGTCATTGCCGTCATTGCGTCATTTTTACTCAGTTATATCTAAAAATGATGCAACTTTAAGAGTGACTCGTTATTTACATATTCACCGTTGATTACCCTAAGCCTATGACGTAATTGAACGATTCCTTTTGTTTCAGACTCAGAGGACACCGGTTACAATCCCCTCGACGATGCGCCAATAGGCAGTCCAGAGCCCGAGTTAGACGAGATCGAGATGGAAATGGGCGACGTGAATCTGCCAGTTCTCTTCTCTCTCACCAACGATCCGGATAAATGGGTGTTGCTTCAGGACCTCATGGCTGCGCTTCGAATAAAGAGCAGGGACGCGTTACTGCGTCAAGTGAACCCTAAAGCTCATACCGGCCCACCAGCCATCGCTCACCGCGACGTCATGAGGGAATTAAAGCTTCAGGATTTCCTGGAGCAGTCCCGTTGCTGTCACCTGCTCAGCGGCGGCGAACGAATCAACGTGAGGGGGTCCAAGGTGACTCTGATCAAGTACAACGACAAAGTGAGGTCCCTGTTGAACGTGGAGAAAGTGGTGATCAGCCTAAGGTGACAGGAGGCGCCGCTGGGGCAGTCATCGCCCCAGGCAAGACCGTCGACTTCCGCCACGAGGGAGACCCCGAAGAAGAGCTCGAGCATTTCTCCTAAGCGCGAGAGGCAAGCCAGAACGCGACAGGGTAACAAGACAGCTGCTACGGATTGAACGTGAATCGGGAAATTGTTTGCCGTGAAAAAGTCGTTCCACGCTCGAGACGCGTGTGAAATTTTCCTTTGATGCAGATCCATCTTTCCTCCCCGATTCTGTTCCACGAGGCAACCGGGGTCGAATGAACGGACAGGTGCGAAAAGTACGTTGTGTCGAAGAATTCGAAACGATCGCGGAGAAGAAGAGGGGGAAGGTCGTTCAACGGCAGTGCTTTCTGACGCGTTCTATTAGCAGTATTTATTGACAGATGTTCAACACGGAACACAGTGATATTTAATCGATATGTCCCTTGCGAGCCAAGCGATGATCGAGTCTTCAACGACGTTTCTAGCTGAAGATAGTCGTCCTGTTCGAGAGTCTTGTATGATACTTTTCTTTGCAAACGTGTTCGATTCGGGCCAAAGGGCGGAGAGAATTCGAACGCTCGTTGCTGATGAATCGGAGAACAAAGTTTTCGTGACGAGACATCGTCGCAGCTCCAGTCGAATAGCTTTTAATCGCAAGATTGGAATCTGGTGGGCGTCCACGCGCTTATTTTCATCGCGTACTCGATTATTCGTTGAAGGAATCGATACTCAGAGAGAACTTGAAACTCCCCGTGAATGGACGCCACGTGCGTTTCACGTTCTCGCCTCATCGATTACGGTTGTTTCGTTAAGTTAAATCGGAAAACAAACGTTGGAACGTACGAATCATCGAATTTTCATCGGCTTCCTCACGTTACCACGTTGTTAATTTCGTTTTGTTTTTTCTCCGTCTTTCTTTCCTTTTTTTTCTTTTTTTTTCTACTAGTACTAGCGAGTCGATTAGATTATAATTTCGGTTACGTGTTTACCGTTTAGATTGTAAGCAAGCGTTTATTAATCGTCGAAAGATGGAGCATTTACGTTTTCCGTTATCTTTTCTTTCTTTCTTTTTTTCTTTGGGATGTGCAATTTCGCGAGTCTGCTTTCTGTTAAACGATTACCGACCGACAAACGCGATCGATCAGCGTCTGTTGGGTCTGAGAGATATAAGAAAAATGGATCGACTGTGTAATATTCAGTGTGCAATAACTCTCATCGAACTCGCGATGATTGATCCTCGAATTAGCGGTTTCCGTTGCAGATTACGTTCATTTGTCCGCCACGTTGGAACCGAGAAGGCAATCGACGCGTTCACTGTTGCTTAGTTATACTCGTTTCCCGATTTCTCTTTATCGTTATCGACGTATGTTAACGCGACGTTTACATTTCTGTTCGTTCAAAGTTTAATCTACCGAATTGGTGAATCGTTTTTCGTTGTCAGGTCGAGCGGTTGATTTTCTCGTTGTCCTCTATATGTTAATCGTTAAAGTACCAATGAACGGTAAACGCGTCGAAGATTGTCATGTCCAGCACAGTGAACGTGTTCAAGGATCATCGACGCATCCGGTCGGCGAAATCGAATTGCTCGTCGAATGCGTCGGTGGAACCGATCTCTACGTACTTATACCTTCGATAGCGTGCTGAAGTATGGCCACGTCAGGATGGATGGTTGAAAGAGGCGAGAAAAACAGAAACAACTCCTACACACACATACATACACACACAAGCTTGTACAAGTTGTTGTTTAGCAAAAGCCAAGCACGCTCGCGCGCGCGCGCGTTTCATTTGACTCCGTGTACAGAAGATTATCAGTCGTTCTGATCAGTCTCAGGGAAATATCCGTATGCGTATTCTCGATATCCTATGCGTTGCATCGATTTGAACAGGCACGCGGCCAGTCATCGACCGAGTGGTCGCTCCACGGATAAACGTGCGTCGAGATGTCGTTATCACGGTTTCCTTCGCGATGTACAGTAGGGCAGAAAGAGAGATACCGTATCGTCTTGGAGCGTTTCCGGTCGACGACGAAGATCGGCCGATGGCTGGTCGCTCGCTCGCTGCTCGTTTTAATTTTATTTAGCCGACGATTTCTAAACCGAATAATTACCGAATAATACCGTGGACGGGGTACAGTTTACACGTGTACATACCTTCCGGTTTTCTTCGCGGCGACGTTCGCGACTACGCGTACGATTTTCGCGATGGTGTTTGGACAGGGGAGCGAAACTACTAGATCGGAGAGAACTTGAGAGAAAGAGAGCGAATGGAAAAGACGGAGAGACATGTAGAGAGAGAGAGCAAAGGTGCAAAAGTCGGTGGGAAGGTTGCGAACGGAGACAGAAGGGGGGAAGTAACTGTACGTACTGTGCGTGTAATGTACCTTTTAAATGTAAAGTAGATACCGAGTAATAGTGTAAGTAGCCAGGAAGAACACGACACTTGTTCATATAACTATAGATGCGTACACACATTTACGCACGTGTAATTGTATAAGGTATAAAGGTGAAAACAGAACCGGCGTTTTAGAGTAACTCGAGAAAGAACGTTGTAATTTCAGCGAAAACCCGAATAATACGCCGTTACGTGGCGTATGTATATATATATACACACTTGCGCATACACACATAGACACTTTCTCGCAATATAATAGGGGCTATCGCAGTTACTACCGCTACTAATTATTATCATTATTACTATTACTACTACCGGTCACCGATTACTACTACGATTACCGCTATTACTATTACTATTTGCCACTACCACTACTATTACTACCACAACTACAAATACTATTACTACTACTGTCACGACTATCCGCTTTTTTTATTGTACGATATATACATAATACCGAACTATGAATGTACATTTTCTTAGCTGTAACGTTTCCTCCTCCCCCATTGTAATTTATATATATTCGAGGATACTTCTAAATGTGTTAAAACAAAAAAAATGAACCGCTGCTGCTTTACGAGAAGAAGGAATTCTATGTGAGAAAGAACAAATATATTATATATATATATATAAATATATAAATATATATGTATATATACGTACATATATATATATTTTATTTCAGAAGTTTAGTTTAATGGATATATAATGTTAAAACGCGAGGAAGAATACAAATTAAATTCTCTCTGTGATTCGTCTAAAGAATGGAACTAAGGAAGTAAAAAGAAGAAAAAAAAAAAGAAGAAAGAGTTATGATTATATTAATTAATTAGTATTATTATTGTCATCGTCATTTATCATTGCTCTGTACCGTCAAGTTTATCGAACAACAAGTCACAACGGACCGACAAACTCGATTTTCGTAACGAACTCGACTCGTGATTTTCTTTTCGCTAATAACAGTAACGAGTTATCCTATCGATGTAATAAAAACAAGTATTTTTACCGATCTCTGCGCCTTCTTCACTTTTTCTCACAACCCACACACTCCCGTTTCTGCCGTGTACCGTGAAGCTAGTCGAAAATCGAACGTCACTTCGATGCTACGTGAATTTGAAACTGCGACGCAATTTGGCCACGGATCGGTTTCGCAAGGAATCGTGTTAAAGGAAACGAAGGTGCACGAATTATCTCTGAGACGTATATAAAATTGGTAAAACGTTTATTAACTATTTAAAAACGATGAAACAAGGTGAACATGAGATTGACAATTCAATAAGTAATATTATTAAATAGACTATAGAGGTGTATAATAAGTGTCTGTAGTAATTATTCTCTTTATACGTTCCTTTACATCGAGACAGACGTCTTTTTCATCATCTTTCTTCCTCCACGTATCCTCACTCTTTTTTTTTTTTTATTTCTTAAAGATTTTCTCATTAACTTTCGGCGAAGCCTAACCTCCTCTCTGTCTTCCTCTTTTCTCTGTCTTCAGGCACGACCTGTGCGATAATATTAATACGGCGACGCTTTCCGTCACTCGATTCGTACTCCGACTATCGATAATACGACTCCTTTACTTACTTTTCTCTTTTTCCTCTTTAAATTCTTTTTCTTGTAAATACGTGCGACGGCTGTTAACGACTATAAACACAGGATCTGTCGTAGGAAAAATAGCTCGTAGAAAGCGTACCCATGCTAATGGTTATTCCCGATCAACCGGTGCCGTTCCATCGCACGACACGTCCTACGAATAAACGAAAAATTAAAGGAAAAATAAGAACGCAAAATCGGCCCTTCCGCTCGGCGAACCGAAGGGGAGGCAATCGACGATGGCGAAACGATCCGCGAAATCGTCGTACGATCGACGATTGCGAACAAAGTGGTGTGGTTGTGTGGCCATTGCAACGATATACAGTTTTACCTACGTACAAGCTCCGATTAAACGGTCGTTCTCTCTTTAACCGCCTCGCGTTTCCTAAGCACTTTCTTCTGCGTTTCGTAACCATCGATACAACTTTCTTTCTACACCTTTTCCTCGGTTACGCGAAATCCTCTCTCGCTTTTCCTATTCACTCGCAAGTATTGCGTATTCGACGAGCGACTCTCCCGATTAAGTCGCTTCCCTTTGTCCAAATCTTACACCAGATACAACGCACAAACGCGCCACGCGATGTAATCGAGGTGACGCCATTCGATGAATTTTCTCGCGTATCTTTTCTACCGTCAATACGAAAATGACTCGTTAACGGAGGCGTTCCGTTGTTCCGTGTCGTGTGAAACCACTATTTTCGTTTTTATTGTCACGGTGATACGCGTTTCTTGTCTCGCAAGATTGCAGAGAGGCGACATCTCGCGTGACCGTTTTTCGTTACGACGCAATATTCTCCCGCCCTTTTGTTTCTGCGCATACGCATTAGGCTTTCTATGGATTGGCACGGGCCAATCGTAGAAAACGAAACACGAATGTAACGGTTCCAGTTCCCATCGAACATACAAATCGTCGCGGGATATTTCCGTTTCGATACGCTCGAGGAATACTCGCTACAGCCCGCTTCTTCGTCGGTCTCACGCTACCACCGTATACCATCTCGATTACCCGTTATCTATATATATATTTTTATATATATATATATAAATATATATATATATATATTTATATATAATGTTGCACATAACCCAGTACTGGCTTAGTAATCTAGCTGTACAAAACATTATATATCGCTATTCTAGCATCTAGAGATTTGTCCTGTGTGTGATTTGATGAATCGTGAAGTTCGTAACAAACGTTTTGGGTCTTGTCGTTTCTTGTTCTTTTTCTCCGTTTTATTATTTCCCTTTCCTTTTTTTCTTTCGATACACACACAAAAAAAAAAAGACAAAGAAAGAAACACTTGTGGAACAGCCTCTCAATGAGAATATCGTTTCTCGCTTTTCTAGTTTCCTTTATATTTATTCCGTTTGTCCTGCCAGTGCATTCTACATTCGAGTTTCATTTTGCCAGGCAACGAATCTTTTCGATTCCCCTCTGTCTCTTGTTCGCTTTTTATTGCGATTAAGTACATTAAAAAATACCGCGCTACTTCGCTCAGAATTAACCGGACCAAGCTATACATATATGGTATGTTCGGTGAAGCCAAGTATTATTTTTTATCGATTTTTTTTTCTTTTTCGTTTATTTTTCAGCGTATTTCGTACTCCGTATCTCTCTTTCCTCGCGTGTTACGCTTTCGTCGTCGTAGTCGTCGCGATTTGCGCGTGAAAAAATTCTTTATTTAAGCGTCTAACGTGCTGTGCGCGTCTTACAAACAATCGCGACGAAAATCTATCTTAAACATCTATTTATTTTTTTGTTTTGTTTCGTCGCTCGTACTCTCTTTCTCTCCCTCTCTCTCTCTCTCTCTCTCTCTCTCTCTCTCTCTCACTCTCACTCTCTCTTGCATCGCTTCTGTCCGACTTTAGCCGACTCTCGATCAATCGTTCGTTACTCGCTTCTCCCGTCGTGTTTCCAAACGATTGCGTGAACTGTACACATACAACATAACACATAGAACGCGTCGCGGTCCGATCAATCGGAGAAGAGAACCGCGACGCGAGTCGTTCGATAAAACACACAACTCCTCGACCGTTCGGCTCCGTTTCGTCGGTCGAGCGGTCGTCGTATAAGCGCGTTAAAATCCATTCCGGTGACGAATACACGACCATGCGTCCCTCCGTGCTTTTCTCTCTTACCGCTATTTTAACGTACAACGAAAAACGGGATGCGTGAGAAACGTTAGAAATTACGTAGCAACTTTATGCTGTTCCTGTGTTGGTCGCCACGGGGAGGATTGCTTCCTTTTAGTGCTCGAAATGCCGTGTACTCGTGCCTGACATTCTAACACAGTGGTAAAATTCAACGCGGAGACAAGTACGGGACGATGCTCTTGCTCTTGCTCAACAAACCCACTCGTCACGTGGAAACCATGAGAAAACATCGTGATACAACGAAACATTTCTGGCATTAACGCTTTAACATGTATCTCCCGCAACAAACTCTCGCTGAGAGGATCTTTAAAACGCCGTAAATATTCTGCGTGTCAGATCTCTCGTCGAAACGGATAACATTACAGCGAAACACGTCGTCAACTGCTTTATCCTTACATAATCAACAATAAAACCTTCTTTACGGTCGTGAACGGTCGTGGGGTTCCCGAGCCCCCGCTACGGGGGCCCCGAGCACGTTTCGAAACATACTCGATTATTATCCTCTCCTTATCCTCCTCTCCTTAACCTAATCTCCTCCCACGAAACTGCTACTCTGGTAATCCTTCACATGCTGTCAGCGTTACTCGATGCGAAGTCTTTCCCGACGAGCTTGGTGCGTGGCTAACGCCTTAACTGGGACATTGTGCTACTCGATTGGGCGGGTGGGTGGTTGGGTGTCTGTGTCGGTGTGTGTGTATACGTGTATAGGGATTGGGGTGGAGTGAGGTGGGACGGGCTCGGGATGGGAACGGGGAAGGCATTAGAGAGTTACTCGATTATTTTATTAAGAGTAATTAAGCTTGACGCCTCGGAGGTAGGGTCCAAGTGTTCGGACCGGGCTGAGCGTGGGGGGCAGGACGTCACAGTTGCTGGTCTCTGCACGGTACCCAAATGTTCGGGCCTGACTGCTCGGCGATAACCTCCTTTACCTTCACGTAGATCTCCTCGGGCGTGTCGCCTTGCACCACGGCTGCAACGGAAGA